CTTGAGAAGATTTGGATTATGATTTATATAAAATTTGAATCTAATAAGAAATGATATTCTGTAGGCTTTGGCTTTGGCTTTAATGTTTTAGGGCAAAAAAAAACAACAAGGAGCAGAGGCTTTTTCCAATTTATAAAATATTTTGGCAAAATTGCAGTTATTCAATGATTTTCAAGAAAGGTTTCCCAGATTTCGAGCAGAAATCCCGTAAAGAAAGAAATTCTTTTCGAATTGTTTATTTGCATTCAATTTCACATGGCTTTTACGCTCTTTGTTTCTGTTTATCGAATAAGGGCAAAAAGAGAAAAATTTCTTTAACAAAATCTTGAACTTCTTTCCATTCTCGTAAACAAAACAAAACAAAACAATCAACAGAAAAGTTCATTTGAACTTTCTTCACCTTTTCGAAGGAAATTTTTCATTCAATTAACCTATTTAGTTTTCAAGGAAGAGGGAAGAGATAAATAAATTGTGGTCAACTTCTCGGGTCCGTTTGGCGCAATTGGTTGCCCGTCTGAAATCTCTCTCATTCTAGAAATCCTAGTTTAATCCAAGTTTAATCCTGGTTTACTTCTTTTTTGACATTAGTACAGAAAACTTTGTCTCTTGAACTTTGAGTGTTATGACTGTTTGACTTTTCCGAACAATAGATTTCATTATCGAAACGATCGCGCCAAGTGCTTTAATTGATATTTGAGTAATTTGGTAAAAGAAATGATCTCCGGTTTAGTTACGCAAGTGAAGTTGCGGGATTAACGGTCATTTGTAGCGTTGTGTTCAGCTAATGTTGCCGGTTTAGTTATCCAATTTATTTCATCAGCTCAAATCATCAACTGACTCAATTCTCATTCAAATTCTAGGAATTCTCATTTTTCGAAAAGAAGGGAAAATCCCAGATTTTGATGATTTGAGTAAAAGAAATCCGGGTAAAATTCACAAAATCGAAGGGTAATTCCTGAAATTCTTCTTCATATTTTCTCATTCGAATTTTGTCATTTCCCCGGTTTATGTTCGATTTATGGGGATTCTTTGCAGTGCGTCATTGTCGGGAAATCAAGAGCTAAAGTCTTCTCTTTCGTTGATTGACTGTCTGTAGGGAATTGGAGAAGTGCGGCGGGGTACAAAGTGATAAGTGTGTGAAAAAGAAGAAAAAGAAAAGGACGAATTCTGTGACGAGATGAAATCATTGAAAGTCATAAAAAGTCAAAAGAGGGAAGGCATAGGAATTTGAGATTTGAGACGAACTTCTTAGGGGTGAAGTTGAACCTTTTTGCAAAGTAGCTTGAGGAAACGGAAGTCAGCAAGTCAGAAGTCAGCCAGTTGAGGAGTCAGAAGTCAGCCAGTTGAGAGGCGAGATTCAGCAGTAGAATTTGGCCTCTGGCAGTGACTTCTTTATGGATTCGACAGGCTGGTTAGCAAACTATAACTATCTATCTCATATGAGTCTTTCTCCGGTCTCAGTCTCATATGAGCTAGCTATAACGATCTATCTCCGGGATTTAGATCATTGGGATCGTGTAGTTGATTTAGCAGAGAGCAAGCATCATTCTGACTATGAGTTGAATCAGATTTTGGATTATTTTGGATTTGTAGAAAAGGAAAAGGCTAGAAAAGATTTACGTATGTAGCCAACTGCTTCTTCACAATCCTACCGTCGAAAAGACATTTTTTAGCACGAGATCTTAAGAAAAGACTTCCGTATGTAGCCTAATCAACTGCTTCTTTGACTACACCAGTTATAGAGATTTCTAAAGCATGACACTGTACTTTCACCACTGTTAAACAGACCAAACTGATCTATGGTTCAATCCGTTAGCCGTTCCGTTTTGATTCTAGTGATCTCTAAGTCAATCCCTCAATCAATTCTCTTTTTCTCAAATCAATGCTTACTTTTGTCAGATAGAAATCAACTAGATTATTTCTCATTTTCTAAGCAAATTACCGTAAATCTTGTGAAAGTCTGATGAACGGACGGACGAAGATATAAATCAATTACAGATTTTGTATAAAAGCCTTATACAATGCTATACAAATGTTCAACATCTAAAGCACCAAATTTCACTATAAGAGAAAACAAGATCTATCGCAACATCATCACTGTTTATTCGAATGAAGAACTTTATTATTTACTCATTAATGTCATTATTATTTTCCCCCTTACATCATCGACATCAGCTTCAACAATATCCACAAGAATCCTCATTCACTAAACTGTGACGCCAATTCATGCTTATCTAGAGAAAAAAAAAACATATTTATCCAGACTTGTTTCTGGAGGTGAAATTGAAAAAAAAAAGAATTTTGACAGGTACACGTCAATCTGAACTGACTGAAAACAAGAAAATAACAAAATAACAATAGAGTTTTTGACATTATTTTCTCACCTGGGCAAAAGGGCAAAAGAGGAAAAATTTGAAAGATATTGAAAATTTGAAAAATACACAAATTTATCGATTTGCTTATTGTTCAGGGTTTCATCAGCACAATAGAAAAAGAAAAAGAAAAGAAGGGAAAAGGAAAAGAAAAGGTTTCTGCTCCGTAAAAGTTCAACATAAACAAGATGGGAGACGGGCGAAAAATGGGGGAAGACCCAGACTCTGGAAACAGGATAGACAAACACACGTGTGGTATCCCTGGCTGGCTCGATTCTTTTGTTTTTTTCGTAGGCTTGCCGTTCCTGAAGAAAATTGTGTGACTAGTGTTGAGAATAAGCGATTTCTGAACCCTTCCCTTTTCCCCAAAATACCAACAACAACAAAGGCCTTTAAGTGCAAGAATGCTTAAGTCCAACTGACCTTCCACTTTAATGACAGTGCAAGGATTTTTCGAGAATTCCTGGACTAGACCGATTTATTAAATTTGGCTAAAGAGGAAACTAAGCTTAAGTTTTATGTTAAATAACTAAAGCAGTTAAGAGAACAAGAGGCTGTTCGTTCAGTTAAAGTAATACGCAATCGGTAAAGATTTCTTATAACTAAACATTCCCCATTTTCCTGCCTGTTCCCCATTTTCTTTGCCAATTTTTCTAATTGAACCTAGTGAACTTTTGAGAGCAAGATAGCTGTTTAGGTGGTTTAGATCTAAGTTAAATAACTAAAGCAGTTAGAGAAGCAGTTAAGAACAAGAGGCTATGATGTTCGTTCAGTTAAAGTAATAGGCAATCGGTAAAGATTTCTTATAGCTAAACGTCTGCCTGTTCCCCATTTTCTTTGCCAATTTTTCTAATTGAACCAAGTGAACTTTTGAGAGCAAGATAGAGGGATTTAGACCCATTTTGGCAACTAGAAAAGCCAAAATTTGTTGAAAGTACTGGAAAGCTTGTTTCTTTGACTAGCTGGGTAATTGACCAAGTCTTTTAATGAACAAGATTGTTCTACATTCGATAACATTTCCTTGTTTTATTCATTGTTAACATTAAACTATTGCGGTCTATTTCTAAAGCCTCAGCACTGCTTCAGGTTAGCGATCGCGGCTCTGTTTGTTGCCAGGATGATTCGCCGAACTTGTTCTCGTGAATTTTGAGGACAGAATCTTGCAAGATCTAGTCTAAGCCTTAGCCTTAGCCTGAGTCTAAGCTTCAAAACCAAAACTATACAGTTTTATCTCACCTTTCCATTCTCTTGCCTGTGACCAATTGCTCTTTCAGTCTTTCGCCTTTCCATTACATTAACCTTCCCCTGTTTATCACTTTCTTTACCCTAAACAATTTCATATCACCAACAGCAGTGAGTAATTTCTAAACAAACCCGAGATCTACCCGTGATTCATTTAGCTCAATCAATCCCGGGATAACATCAAAAGTGAAGTGAAAGAATCAACAATGTCTAGACCCAGATCGCCGTTCACGAGAAAATTAGAGGCGACTAGTGTGATCTTTGTTCGAAAAGAGAAAAGAGAAACGAAAGAGATAAGTGAACAGAAAGAGAAAGAGATCAGTGAAAGGGGAATGGGCGGATCGGTCTGGCTGTCTGCCCTCTGCCGCCCTCCCCAATGGGCGTGGCTCCTCACCACTCCATCCATTTTCTATAAAAGCCCACCCTTCCTCAGCCTCGTTTGCTTCAAATATTTTGTGGCCTGTTTCTTTTATTAATCTTTACAATAACTGTTTGCCTATTTTGAAACCTGTTTACCTTTCAATATTTGGGTTTTATTTTTGGCTTTTACCTTGTTGACTATTTCTTTGTGCAACGATTTTGGAAGAGGAAGAGAAAAAAGGAGAATTCTCTTGCAAATCTAGTCTTTCCATGATCAGTAAACTTTCATAAGAATATTTTTTTCCGTAAACTGATCAGTAAACTTTCCTAAGAATACTTTTAAGTTAAGCAATGATAAGAAGAGCTTCAGCGTTTATAAACAGATCAAAACTATTCATAAATTCAACATTTCTGAATCAATTTTACTTGGATAAATATCTAGTTATAGCTATTTAGCTATAGCTATTTAGATAAAGCTATTTAGCTAAAGCTATTTAGCTATTTGGTTCCTTATCTCTCTAAATTTGGTTCCTTATCTCTCTAAATTTGGCTAAAGCTATTTATCTATAGCTATTTATCTATAGCTATTTATCTATAGCTATTTAGCTCTTTCTACAGTTTACTGTACTTTTTTCTATTCTATAAGAATTCAATTTTATCATGTACTCCAGATTTATCACATAAAACTTAACTCTGTCGACCGTTTCTCACGTGAACTCCCACGAATTGGCACCGATACAATAGTTCTCTTTTCTCTGAATTCAAACTCTTTACCTCTTTACCCACATTTCCTTTAATCTCAAACATTTCTGGGTGAGTGCACATGAAAAAGAGAGCGATTTTTCCGATGAACTCAACAAAAATTTGTGCAAAGTTCTTTTCAAGTTGCAAAGTTCTTTTTCTATTGAAAATTTGAACTCTTTTCAAATTTCTTTTCAAATCTCTTTTTAAATTAATATAAATTCTTTTAAAACATTCATTTATTTCTTTTAATTTTTAGTTTTCAAGCTGCCAATTTCTCGCAAAATGTTGCTCTTTGAATCGCGTAAACCCTCGTACGGATCGAGCTCGGGAAGCCTCCAAATTGAGATGGTTGGTTTTTAAAAACGAATCATTAGAAGATCGAATTCTATCTAATATTTCATATCAATTATATTCAATTTTTTTGTTTCTTAAATCTTTAAATCATCAGCTATTCAATGTTTGCTTAAAAATTCACCTTTAAAAAGCTCTTTCCACCGTCGGATTAGTTCTTCTTCTTTAAACGATTTTCCTCTATAGAACTACCGATAGCTTCTTTGTACAATAGAAAATTGCATTTAATTCTTAAAATAGACATTTCTTGACCTCTTTTCATCAAAAATCAACAGAATTTTTGCGATTTTTGATCAATCCCCTAGGTGAAATGCCCTTTTTTTGGACAAGATGTTCATGACTTCAGAGAAAAAGTTTCATAAAACTGTTTTCACCCAAAAATAATTCTCAAAACATGAATTTCCGCTAGTTTTTTTAGTGGTCTAGAGTGTTTTGTTCTCTTTTTACTTCTTTTTGGGCTTTCTTTTGCTAGGGGTCATCGCTGGTGCCAGCCACGGTGCGGCCCGTATGTTCTTTCGCTTTTTTTTTAGAGAATGGATGGTTGGGAAATTAGGAAATCCCCTTTGATTAGGAAGTCCTCTTTGGTTTGCTAAAGGACTAAAAATGGAACTAGACCAAAAGGGGAAAAAGAGAGTCAGCTGGGGGATCGAAATAGGGTAGACCAGAGCCAGAATGTAGAGGCTAACCAAGCTATAGTAGCTTTGAGCCGCAGCTATTTAAAACTCATAAATAAACGTTTTCTTAAATGTTTTTTTTCTTATTTACAGATTTACTCGATTTTTGAGACGTTTACGAAATCCCTAGGGGCTTAAAACCGGCGAGTGATCTCTCATAAAAAACAAAACATCAAAAATCTTTTTGGCATTCCGATAATGAAAAAATAATCGAACAAAGTCTGTTCTGTTTACTGCTTTATTTTCTTTGGTTTGATTTCAAAACGCTTATCACTATTGGGTTGAAAAAAGACGTCAATAATGACAGGGAAAATCAAAACAAAGCGATGATTCAAAGTTAAAAAGAAACGGTTAGTCATTGAGAATGATGTAGTCGAGTTTCATTTTTTTAAATGATTATCAATCATTGTTCCAATTGCAGGGAGGCTCTCCAACGATGGCTAGGAAAGTGTCGGGATTGAAAAGGATGTTTAAATTGCGTCGAACGCCGTCAGATGAGGGGAAAGAATGTCTCGGCTGCAATGACACCGAGCATCATCAGCACGAGATTCAGCCGCCAACCCGTCGTCCACAACAATGCCAATTGAAAGCCCGTGATGTGAGTGGATTATATTATATTATATGCTTATATGCTATATGGATTATATGCTAAAGCTTAAGAATACCTAGATCTAGGGAAATTTAAGTACTCTATCGTACAGATCTTAAGCTTAAATGATTACTGTAGCCAATGTAGCTTGTAGCTTTATAGTACTTTTGTGCTTTAAGTATTGTGTCCTTTTAAACTAGCTCCAAAAATATTTGCAACTTCTAAATTTAGCTCAAATTTCAAAAGACACCAAAAAAAAAACTATAGAATTGGCGCCACTTCACCCCAGATAAGCCGACTCTAGACGGGAACTCAAAATCAAAAATGAAAAGCTTCTAGGGAACATCTATAGTCACAGACTTTCGAAAATTGTTTCGTTAACATGGAGAACCTTGTCCCGAACTTGTTTACGATTTTGTGCAAAGAAAGAGAGAGAAAATTGGTGTAGATCCTTTGCGTCTAGGACTCGTGCACTTTTGGGGATTCACATGAGGTTCTTCATGGAAACAAATCCATTTTGACAACAAGTTGGGGAATTCGGTGAATGATAAATAGATTTCCGAGCACTCGGCTGAACATAAAGGTTCATCGGACGGTCAACACTAAGCACCATGAGAACATTTTGAGTTTAATAAGCAAAATGTGAATATTGTTGATTCGATAAAGTGCAATAAAGTCAACTGTTTTAGTATGAAAATTAAATTTACATTCGAAATTTCTAGATCTCTGTTCAATTGGAGTCGCGGTTGGCTTGCCGCGTGGTGGTGACGTCACCAAACGCCGAGTCGTCACAAGTTTTATCGGTGTTGCCTGATCAGTCAGAAGACGTTGTTTATGAGCCTATGCAACAAGGATGTGGACACGGTTTCTGGACGATTAAGATCATCGATATTCAGTGAGTTTTTAATTGTTTGATGTACTTAGAAAGTAGAAAAGATTAGCTAGAAAAGTATAGCTGTAAAGTGATTGTTCTATAACTAAATTGCACCAATAGTTACAGTAATCTGTAGAAAATTCAGCCGTAATCTTGTAATCTAAGCATTTTACAGAACATTAGCTACAAGGCATTCTTTGAGTGACTTGATAAGGTAGACGGTCGGATTACTGTAGCGGGTTACTGTAGCGGATTGCTGTATGCTAAGTTACTGTAGAGGATTACTGTAGAGGGCTACTGTAGAGGGCTACGGTAGAAAGCTCTTCTAAGGTTATTAAGGTATAAAGCCCTCCTCTGGCGGCAGAGGATGTCGGTGTAGCTCAATGGTAGAGTGTTCGCTTGATAAGCCGAATCGTTCGAGTCCCGGTCGCGGGTTTGAATCGCGGCCCCAACGATTTTCTGTATTTCAGCTACTGATAAAAGGAACTTAGATAAAAGACTCAACTCTTAGATTTCAAGTATACAAGATCACTTTCAAAAAAGCTCATCAATTCTCCTCCATTCTTAACCCATTCATTTTCCAGTGACGATCAGAAAGTGCTCGGCGAGCAGACTCTTCATTTATCCGGTTGGGGCTCGATCCTCGTCACAATCACTGAAGATTTCTCTGTGCTCATGAAGCGTTTGGATTTCCTCGAGTCACCAATCGCCATCTCATGCGGTTATTGATCAATTTCCAATCGACATTTCCTCAATTTCCCAATCATCCCGGTTTCCTATTAGTCACAAATTAGTCAAATAGCTTTACCTCTGCCCATTGAGGCCCTGATTTTTCCCTCAATTTTTTGGAGAATTTTTATTTAATTTCATTCTCGAAACGATCGGGTTGCCTCATTTCCTCTTTTTGTATAGAAAGATTCCCCCAAAAAAATGATTTCTCAAGAAAACGAAACACATATTTCACTTTTCGTCTTTCTTTTTTCACTAATAGGAATTTCTATATTCTAATAAAAAAAAATAAAGATCATCTAATCTAGAATTTCGTTAAAAGAACTATAGAAATTCCTATACGTGGACGCGACACGGGTAGTCAAAAAAAGAAAAAGAAAAGCCGCAGGTCTTGGCCTCCAGTTCAAAAATTTCTCTCGTTTTTCATAATGGGTTTTACTCAAATTCGGGTTCATCTAAAAAACAAATGGGTAAAACGGATACGGTAAACATAGAATCAAATTCTAAAGTTCTAAAGTTCTAAAGAGTTTTTTCTTTAAAAAAAAAACAGAACTGTGCCGCCTGGAGGCTTAAAAGCCGCGCGCCGCGCCCAAATTTGACTTTAAAATTCAAACTTCTATATGTGCACCATGTCTAAAAACTGCCCAAAAAATTTTTTTCAAACAAATTTTTTTCAAATCCACTGCTTTAGAGTCTTTTAACTATCATTCTATTTTCTTTTTTATTATCAAAATAAGTTGTGCCAAGTTCTTTCGCGTTTTTTTCTCTCTCTCTCTCTCTCTGAATGATTTTAAAATTCACCCCATCGATTTAAACAAGATGTTTTTGTATATGGTGCATTTCATTTCCTCGTTTTTTCCCCTCACCTTTTGTGTAATTTATTTGCCTTCGTTTTTTTGGAATATCAATAAAATTTGAAAGAAATTGAGCCCTCTGAGGAAAATGCAAGAATAAACGAAACGAAGAATACTTCACACGAAAATTCACAAGAAAATCTTGTGAACTTCAAATCTTGTTAAAAGCTACACAACTGTTCTTTGTGGTTTGCCTTTTTGCTTGAGAACGTACCCTTTCTGGCACACTCGATTCTGCCTGCTTCTGGCTTTGGCTCTAGATCCATCCAAAAGACTTTTCTTCTTGAAAAGCAAAAGAAAAACCCGGGATTGAACTGATAAGGTCTGGCTCTGGAACCGAACGCGATACCACTCGGCCACAGTTGGATTGAATCGGGTTAGCAAGCAGGCCGCTAAGACCTAAATGATCAAGATCCAAATGAATAAGATCGAAATGACCAAGACCAAAATGATCACATTTTCAGAATCCTAACAAAACTTTAGACGGCTTATCACTCCTGACAGATTGTCATTTAGCAAAAACGGAATACATATTCGGAATCAGCATCAAATTCTGCGTTGAATGGTCTAGATCGCATAGCATTTGATCGGCTCAGTCAGTTGATTTTCCCTTGTTTGTGTTTACAAAGTTGAACTAACCCTTTCTGGTCATACTGACAATGGTGTACCAGAAAGGGTACATTTCGTGTCCACCTGCACATCACTTTATCGAGCTTTTTTTTCTATGCCAGGAAAAGAGCAATTATCTAAAGTTTCTTTAAGAAAAACTTCCGTTTACAAAGTATACTCAAAATTTTAAATCTTACTGACAATGGTGCACCAGAAAGGGTACATTTCGAGTCCACCTGCACATCACTTTATCGAGCTTTTTTTTCAAATATTTTATCTGTAGTTTATCAAGTATCAATAGTTCATTCTTAGTTCATTCAAATTCTTAGTTCATTCAAATCAACAGTTCATTCTTAATGAAATCATCTGCTTTTAAATCCATTTTTTCTCTTAATTCTTGTGCAAATATATCAACAAATCAGTTCATTCATTGAACTGATTTGTTGATACTCTTTTCCAAATGAATTCCCAGAATTTCATTCAACTCTTTTCCCCCCAAACCATTCATTTTCATTAAAAAAGAAAACCAAAAACACGAATCTTTACAAAAGAAATGAGAGAAAAAGGTCTTTCTTTGAATACTATAAACAAGAAGAAGAAAAAAAGATGGCTAATAGATGAATCATTTTGGAGAAAATTGTAAACTATGAGCCAATAAACTATAAAAAAATTTGAAAACAAAGAAAATCATGGTAATATTATCAATAAATTTCCTAATTTTTCAACAATAAACTTGTGTTGTTTCTCTTTTCAGAGATTTCAGAGAAAAGAGCTATTTCGTCACATTGTAATCTTTCCAGGGATTGTGCAAAGTTGAATGGAGTAGCAGTTGATTGAATCAAGAAGGGAAAAGAGGAAAGAGGTCTTCTTTATGAGTCTAAAAAGGCAAAGATTTCGTTTATTTTGAAAGTATTTTATCTTTGAATCATTTAGAATGGAGTAGCAGTTGATTGAATCGAAAAAAAGTGACTGAAAAGAAATAAGAGATCTCTGTACTGAGTTTTATGGATTTTTTTGAGTCAAATTATATGCTTACCGTATTTTCTGTAATAGTAGTGCGCACTACTATTTTTTCAACCCCCCTCCAGCCTGCACTACTATTATAGACTGCACTACTATTACAGAAAATACGGTAATTGTTTTTTGAATCGATTAATAGCTTAGTGAAAATGAAAATTTACTGAATTTAAAGTTCTTCTTTACTAAAAGATATTTTGAAAGTATTTTATCTTTGAATCATTTAGAATGGAGTAGCAAGAATATCTTTTAGAAAAACATCGATGATTAATGGTGTACGTGAAAAATAAAAGAAATGAAACAAGGAAAAATAAAAGAAATTTCTGAATAAACCCCGGAAAATATTAAATAAGATTGGAAAAGACGAGGGATTCAGAGAATGAATTTGAAAATTAAAAATGTTAAGTGAAAGAATTACAATGCAATGCAATGCAATGCAATGCAAATGTGAACGAATTTCAAAATCATTTCACCTTTGATTTTTTAGTTATTCAGTTCAGCTTTGATGACGTGCTATTGAAAAAAAAAATAAGAAAAAGGGCAAATTTCCAAATTGTTTACGAGACCTATGAGACGCAGAAATCTGAAATTTCTCTTTCAGGAAAAGAAAAAGATTGTTGTAAATAACGAACTCTCTCTTTTTCTGTGTTCTTTTCATTCTTTTACCTCTTTTTTTTTCTTTCTCTTTCTTTCGCAAAGATCAACGAAAACAAAGAGGGAAAAGTTGTGGTAAATAGCGTGATTTCAAGAAAATCTGTTTTGAGAGAACACATCGAACATCAACGATACATCATTTTTTTTAAAGGCAAAAGAATTTCGACTTTTCCACGTACACTAATTTGCAGCCGTTTGATTTGCAGCCGTTTGATTTGCAACCGGTTTGCCTTCAGCCTTCAGGGTTATATCAACGTGTTCTTTGCGTTCGATTGGAACCCTTTCTAGAAATGGGGCATTTTACCGAATTAACTTGAGTCGAACGGGGTTTTAAAACAAAAACGTTAGTGTTTAGGGGAAAAAAAAAGAACTGTGGCTACTTGGGTTCAGAGTTTTGTTAGCAATTTCGACTATTCCATGTACACTGATTTGCAGCCGTTTGACGAGCTTCAGGGTTATGTCGACGTTATGAAGCTCGTGCTTCAGGGTTATGTCGACGTGTTCTTAGCATTGGATTGGAACCCTTTCTAGAAAGCTCGATGGTTTCAAATGATTAGAACTTGTAGTGTACTTTCTCTACTCAAAAGTTGATAATGGGTAAACGAAAACTTTGTGGTGCACTTAATGCTCGTGTTTTTTTTGGCATAAAATCTTTATGTGCTCTGTTAAAATGTGCGCTTTTCTAGCGCACTAGATCTTTAGAATTCTTTCAATTTTATAGATTTTTAAAAATCTATACTGAAATCAAAGAAATTGTTTCTAATTCTTATTTCTAATTTCATTCTAAAGTTCAAAAGTCTAAAAGTTAGGCTTTTCTTAAAAAGCAAGGACCAGACTACTTGAAAAAAAAAGTATTTATATTGAAATGACTTCATTACTTATTCTTGGGAAACCCCCTTAGATCCACTTGAGGTTCAAGGAAAAGAAAATAAAGGGGAAAAGGATTAAAGAACTCATCGAACACCACATCATCACTCTTTTCGTTTTCCTTTTCTTTTCTATTTATCTCAATTTCTCTCATCTCAAAATGCCAACCTCAACAACAAAAACAACGACGAGACGAGCCAAAGAGTTTTTCGAAACTTAAAACGATCTTGATCACACGTGTAAAATGATGAAAGAGTTCAACTTTAGCTTAATATTTTAGTGCTTTAAAATTTACTAAAAAAAAGTTTCTATACTTTATAGATCAATTCTCTGGATGACTTTTAGAAATCAGTGATTCAAGGTCGTTGAAAGATTTCTCTCACAAAGCACGAACAGCGCAGACAGAAAGTGATCATCAAAAACTCTAAAAAAGGATTTCCCTGTTAAGGAAACTATTTTTAGAAAGAATTTGGCGAAAATAGAGAATGAAATGGAGTGATTTCCCGCAATTGCTCAATGGTCAACAGGATGGAGAGACGGGCAATGGAAGTGACGATTCTTCGATTCGTATTTGACGGGGGACTTTTTAGAAATGGGGCATTAACTTGAGTCGAACGGAGTTTTAAAACAAAAACGTTAGTGTTTAGGGAAAGAACTGTGGCTACTTGGGTAGCTGTTAGATATGTTAGCACACTTGTAATCAAGTCGGAAAACAGGCTCAAGTGTTTTCTCTTTAAATTGAGTTAACATTTCTATCATTTATGATAGCAAAGGTTGTTCTAAAGAGTTAAACCAAGCTAGAAATACAAATAAAAAGACAGGGACAAATGTCAAAGTTCTTTCTCCTCTTTCAGATGTTCTAACACTGACGAAAGAGGCTGTACATTTGTATCTTAAATCTTCAACTTTTTGCCACTTTTTTCAATGAATTTCAATATCCTAACCTTAAATTCTTTTTCAATTAACTTTCATCATTTATTCTTTTTTTCTTTTGTC